CAAATACGCACAAAAACATCAAAATTAGCACAGAAAAAGTACTATATAACATTTTAGACACATTCTAGACAGTTTATCAGCTAAAAAAAATGTTAATTTTGGGGTAAGTTACTCTTTAAGGTCTGAAGATCGATATCAGTCTACAGACTGGTGACCCTCTGCTCATCTTTACTTCTAAAATGTTCTTTATTTTTACACTGTTGATAAAGAAACCAGTTAGTAAGTGAGGTTAGAGCCTTATAGCTCCTGGAAACACTTCTTAATTGTGTTTCTGTTGTAATTCTAAATGATTGGTTCAAACATTGTGTTTCTTGTGAATAAGATGAAATCCTGTTTTCTGTTTATTTTTGCTGATTAATCGCAGAATATTAGATTGAATTAAATTATTCCAATGTGTTTATTTTGGTGGGAGAAGAGGAAAACAGCTTATGATGGAGAGGAGAAAGTGAAGTATTAGGAGGGAGGAGGAGGAGGAGGGGAGGGAGGCAGACAGACTGGGTGAGGAAGAGGAAGAGGAGGAGGAGGAACAGGAAGAACTGGGCAGACATTCAGACCCCCGGTGGATCCCGGAGCCTCCGCCGCCCCTCAGCCGCTCCATCCGGATCCACGCGCTGCCCCTCCGCGGAGCCATGGCCGACGATCGCGCTCCGTCCACGGCCTGCACCGGCTCCAGCCTCCTGCAGCCGGTCAGCGAGATGACCAACCTGCCGCTGGACCAGGTAGGACCCGGACCGGGGCCCGTACTCGGTCCACATCGGCCCGCGGGGCCCGAGCCTCGGAGCTCCGGAGCGGAGCGCTCAGGGTCCGCGGCGCGCTTCGCAACAAAAGATGCAGAAAGAGGAAGAGGGCGGGTGAGACAGGCCGTCCTACATGGACCCAGGCCTCGGATCCGGTCCAGCTGCGGGCCGTGGGGCAGGGTCTGAACGCGATCTGTGCGGGTTTGTGCGGAGGAACAGGAAGACGTGCGGGTCTGCAGCAGGTTTTAGGATCCGAACAGAGACCCAAACATCCTGTGGTCAGGATGATGATGATGATGATGATGGCTTCATCTATGAGGAAGAGGAGGAGGAAGATGATCAGCAGGATGAAAACATTTGACCAACAATAATCTGATCCACAAACAAACAAATAACCAGGAACAGTGTTTGTTTATTTATACACAAACATAAACAAATGTTGTTTACAGTTCAGACATTCCTGCATCTAATGTTTGTCTCTCTGAGGACATTTTAGCTCTGACTTTAGTTTATAACTTTATGAAGGATTTAACTTTATTTACCTCATTAAAATCATCAAAATTTCTTGAAATCCTTAAAACCTTTTTGTTCTTTGAATCCTCGTCAACATCTGTGTCCTTGTGTTAGTTTATGTGTCCACATGTGTCCATTTTTGTTTTTATATTCTTGTCCTCTTCATCTTTGACCCCACGTCTTCTGTTGTCTCTTTGTGTGACCTTTTGTCTCCATACATTGTCTCTGTTTACCCTCAGATGCCTCCATGCTACATTTTGTCCTCATGTCTCCTGTTTTCTTTATTTTCTGTCCCTGTTTCTGCTCAGTTTGTCTCTTGTTCTGGTTCTTTTTCTTCTGCTGACGTTAAAAGATCAGCTGATATTCAGCTCACTGTCATTATTGTGTTTGAGCTCAAATATTCCAATATATAAGTCCATCACATCACATGTACGTTTGATTTCAGCTTTAGCATTTTTTACACATTTTAGCTGCTGTTTTGCTGATTTTAGCATTAGCATTTGTTTTGCTACCATTTTCTGCTACATTTAGCTATCATTTTCCTAATCTGAATATGTTTTGCCAGCTTTAGCGTTTGTTTTTATCCAGACTTTTAATCCAGACTTTTAATCCAGACTTTTATTCCAGACTTTTAATCCGGACTTTTATCCAGACTTTTAATCCAGATCCTTTAATCCAGACTTTTATTCTGGACTTTTATCAAGGCTTTTTATCCAGACTTTTTATCCAGGCTTTTATTCCAGATTTTTATTCCAGTCTTTTAATCCAGACTTTTATTCCAGACTTTTATTCCGGACTTTTATACAGACTTTTAATCTGGACTTTTATCCAGACTTTTAATCCAGACTTTTATCCAGACTTTTTATCCAGACTTTTATTCCGGACGTTTAATCCAGGCTTTTATTCCAGATTTTTATTCCAGTCTTTTAATCCAGACTTTTATTCCAGACTTTTATTCCGGACTTTTATACAGACTTTTAATCCAGACTTTTATCCAGACTTTTTATCCAGACTTTTATTCCGGACTTTTAATCCAGACTTTTATTCCACACTTTTATCCAGACTTTTAATCTGGACTTTTATCCAGACTTTTAATCCAGACTTTTAATCCGGGTTTTTATTCCGGACTTTTATCCAGACTTTTAATCCAGACTTTTATTCTGGACTTTTATCCAGACTTTTAATCCAGACTTTTAATCCGGGTTCTTATTCCGGACTTTTATCCAGACTTTTAATCCGGACTTTTATTCTGGACTTTTATCCAGACTTTTTAATCCAGACTTTTATCCAGACTTTTAATCCAGACTTTTATTCTGGACTTTTATCCAGAATTTTTAATCCAGACTTTTATCCAGACTTTTTATCCAGACTTTTATCCAGACTTTTATCCAGACATTTTATCCAGACTTTTAATCCAGACTTTTATCCAGACTTTTTATCCAGACTTTTAATCCAGACTTTTAATCCAGACTTTTATCCAGACATTTTATCCAGATCCTTTAATCCTTTTTGCCAGCTTTAGCGTTTGTTTTGCTAATTTTAGCATTTGTTTTTCTGGTATACAAGTAGCAGAAGCCACAAGATTATCATCAGTTTTGCTCATTTTCGCAATCGTTTTGCTGATGTTACAATTTGTTTGGCTAATTGTATCCTTAGCATTTGATTTGCTAATTTTAGCTACTGTCTTATCTTCAGTTTTAGATTTAAGGTTGTGTTCTGCTCATTTTAGTTCCATGGGTGAACAGATATTGCTCGCCAGACTTTTTATCCAGACTTTTATCCAGTCTTCTAATCCAGACTGTTTATCCAGACTTTTTATCCAGTCTTTTAATCCAGACTTTTATCCAGACTGTTTATCCAGACTTTTATCCAGTCTTCTAATCCAGACTGTTTATCCAGACTTTTTATCCAGTCTTTTAATCCAGACTGTTTATCCAGACTTTTTATCCAGATTTTTAATCCAGACTTTTTATCCAGATTTTTATCCAGACTTTTATCCAGACTGTTTATCCAGA